CACCTGAGGCCCTGTCCTCCCTGATGGAATTCCTTGGTAATTTAAAATTCAAAGATTTTTTGGCAGGAGATTTCAACATTGACTGGTGTAAGTCGACCCCCCTCTGTGATAAATTCAAGGAATGCTGCCTGTCTCTCAATCTTACCCAACTGATCAACTCTCCGACAAGATTAAATAAAAACCGTCCTGAAAATTCCTCCATCTTTGACCTGTTTCTAACTAATATGCCTCACAAATTCCCTGGTACAGGTGTGTTCGCTGATATTTTGAGTGATCATTGTGTGACAGCTGCTTTGAGAGATATTAAACTTCCACCTTCTAAGCCCAGATTAATTAAAAAAAGGGATCTGAAACATTTCTGTGAACAGTCATTCCTCTGGGATCTGTCTCACTTTGACTGGCATCGTATTCTGTTAACTGATGACGTGAACTCCGCTTGGAACTATTTCCATAATAATTTCATTTATTTCCTGAACATACATGCTCCTTTTCGTCAGTTCAGAATAAAAGGACGAGACAGCCCCTGGTTGACTCCAGAGCTAGCTGACCTCCTGCACAGGAGAGATCATCTTTGGGCCGCAGCGAGAAAATCTGACTCAGACACTGATTGGTTGAGTTTTCAACAGATGAGGAATAAATGCACAACTGCTGTTAAAGCAGCAAAACGCAACTATTTCTTATCTCAGACCTCCAAAAATCTAAATGACCCCAACAGATTCTGGAAAACCATCAAATCTCTCTCAGGCACCCCCCGATCATCTGACCTCCCATCACAACTTCTCGTTAACTCTGTTCCTGTGTCAAATAAGCACGAGATCCTGAACTGTTTCAACAAACATTTTGTTGCTTCTAGTTCTTTATTTGACACAGTTACTAATGGAAGATCAGCCACTTCACTTAATAACCAAACTTCTACAAATCAAATCCCTCCTACAAGTCAATCCTCAGTTAATCACACCTTCTCTTTTTCTCCATTCTCAGTCAGTGAGGTCAATAAACTGTTAAAAGATCTTGGTCCTAAAAAATCTGCAGGTCCAGATGAACTTCCACCTTATTTCTTAAGGCTGGCTGCTCATATCATCACAGTCCCTGTGACCCACATCTTCAATCTCTCCATGAGACAAAACTCCATCCCAGACACTTGGAAAACAGCCTTTGTTCTTCCTTTGCTGAAGAGAGGTGACCCCCCCTCACTGAACAACTATGGACCAATCTCTAAACTCTGCATTTTAGCCAAGGTTCTAGAAAAACTGATAAACTCTCAAATCAAAAATGACCTGGACTCATTTAACATCTTACCTCCACATCAATCTGGTTTCAGGAAACAACACAGCACAACCACTGCTTCACTGAAGGTTCTTAATGATGTTGTTGAAGCACTGGATGCTAAAGATTATTGTGCTGCACTTTTCTTAGACCTGTCTAAAGATTCTGACTCTGTGGATCAGAACATCTTGTGTCATAAACTCTCAGAAACTGGTTTCTCAGAACACACCATTGGTTGGTTCTCTAACTATCTCTCAGACCGGAGGCAATGTGTTCAACGTAATGGTACTTCCTCCAGTTATTTAACATTCAACAATGGTGTACCACAAGGCTCAGTCTTAGGACCCACCCTCTTTACAATCTACATACGTAATGTAGGTAAAAACATCCCTAATGCATCCATACATTTCTATGCTGGTGACACAGTTGTTTATTGTCGAGCTAAAACTGTTGCTAAGGCTTTCCAGCTTTTGAAATCTGCATTTAACATCATCCAGACTGATTTGTTCCAACTCAAACTTGTCCTAAATGCCGACAAAACCAAAGGGATGCTTTTTTCAAATAGGAAGTTGGTCCCAGCAGTTCTTCCTCCGATTTTATCCTCAAATGGTGTCCCCATTGAGTTTGTTGATTCCTATAAATATTTGGGTATTGGTCGACTCACATCTCTCTTTTAAGCTCCATGTGGAAAACTTGATAAAGAAACTGAAAGTTAAACTGGGTTTCTTTTTCAGAAACAGATCCTGTCTAACCCTGAATGTTAGGAAACGCCTTGTATCTGTGACTTTCCTTCTCTCCATTGATTACGGTGACATTATTTACATGAACGCTCCTACAAGAACCCTGCAGATGTTGGATGCTGCAGATGTTGGATGCTGCAGATGTTGGATGCTGCAGATGTTGGATGCTGCAGATGTTGGATGCTGTCTATCATGGTGCACTAAGATTCATAACTGGCTGTGATTATTGTACCCACCACTGCACCCTGTATCCACTGGTTAACTGGTCACCATTAACTTCACACAGACTCTCCCACTGGTACATTTTCATCTTTAAATCACTTCCTGGTCTGCTGCCTTCATACATCTCCTCCTACATGTCTCTGTGTGAGTGCAGCTACAGCGTGCGCTCTCAGGACATCATTACCTGCAGTGTTCCCTCAGTGAGGACTGAACTAGACAACAGGACCTTCTCCTACTCCGCTCCTGTTTCCTGGAATATCTTACAAAAAGATCTGAAGCTCTCGACCTTTGACCTCTCTAAGTGGCTTTAAGAATCTGTTGGACTCCTGGCAGAGACCGATGCAGACATGTTCCTGTTTTTAGTTTTCTACATTCACCTTAAAATCTATCTGATTTTTGTTACTTTTTTTGCATCTTATTTGTATATAAAAAATAAATCTGTATGCTTTTTATAACTGTTTATTGTTGTTGCTGTTGTCCATTGTTGTCATCATTCTTTGTTAAATCAGGTCTCTCTTGTAAATGAGTCCTCGAGGCTCAATGGGATTTACCTGTAGAAATAAAGGTTGAATGAATATATATATATATATATATGTTTTTTTTAAGTTATTTAAATTTTTTTTCCTTTTAAATTAAGGAATTGGTGGGCTGGATTAAAGTCACCCACTGGCCGGAAATGGCCCACGGGCCGCCACTTGAGTAGCCCTGTGCTAGAACCTTCAGAACTTAGAGTTTTTGGTAGAAACAGGATCAGTTGGATAGAATTCTTGTTTTATCTCCTGTTTATTAACAACCTGATTATTAACCACCTGTTTATTATACATAGTTAATAACAGATTGTTATGCTTGTGTTAACAACTAATAAACATCATTTTATGACCAAATATGACAACACTAAACAAAAATTCCTCTTGTTTCTGGCTCTTTACCTTCTTTGTTTTTTTTTTAGTTTGTAAACATCACTCTGTAGGGTTACTGCCAGAACTGGTTATTATTGACCTGGTTATTATTTACCTGGTTATTAACGACCTGGTTATTAATGACCTGGTTATTATTTACCTGGTTATTAATGACCTGGTTATTATTTACCTGGTTATTATTGACCTGGTTATTACTGACCTGGTTATTATTTACCTGGTTATTAATGACCTGGTTATTATTGACTTGGTTAATATTGAGTATCTAATAAGTGATGGTCAGTAACTGTCTGCCTCCTCTTGTTCTTCTTGTTCTCGTCTCGTGGACCATCAGATGGCAAAGGCAGACCAGCGTTACGGCCAGCGGGACGGTTCGGACCAGAACTTTGACTACATGTTCAAGCTGCTGATCATTGGAAACAGCAGCGTTGGAAAAACGTCCTTCCTGTTCCGCTACGCCGATGACTCCTTCAGCAACTCCTTCGTCAGCACCGTCGGCATCGACTTCAAAGTGAAGACGGTGTATCGCAACGACAAGAGGATCAAGCTGCAGATCTGGGTAAGAAAAAGGGGGCGGGGCCTCAGATCTGGGTGAGGGCACAGGGAGGAGCTTCAGATCTGGGTGAACATGGGGGTGTGGCCCCAGATCTGGATGTGCATAGGGGCAGGGCATCAGACCTGGGTGAACACAGAAGAGGAGCTTTTGATATTGGGGAGGTTGGGGAGGAGCTTCAGTTCTGGGGGCGGAGCTTCAAATTTAGGTAAAGATAGTGTTGTTCTTGAGGCAATAAAAAACATTGTTAAATAGATGTTGCAAACCTTAAGGACGTAAAGGTCATTAAAGCATAAAAAATGTATTCTCTGGCTGACAACAGATGACGATTAAAAATACAGTAGTCCCTCTCTACTTCGCAGTTCGACTTTTGTGGACTCGCCCTATCGCGGTTTGTGCAAGTACAGTACTGTACATAATATTTTTAAAAAGCACCACCATTTTGTAGTTTTCTTTCATTAAGCCTTCACTGCTTTGCCAGTCTAAAGAACTATGTTACCCAGAAGTCATCAGTTCACTTCCCAGAAGTCAACACTGCTTCCAACCGCTGCTTTCTGCAAATGGAGGGAAAGTTTAGCAGCAAAGTCAGAAGTTCTGTCAGGATCACTTCACAGAACTGGCAGGAAGGTCTCAAATGATCCTGAAGATGAACTCATCCTTCAAGTTGTATCTTCACTGCTGAGTAGCTGCAGCTGATCTGGACCCAGTGTGACCCGGATCCTGGGGGCTGCAGGCAACAGACAGCTGCGGGTTTCAGCCTGGTTCTGGTCGTGCAGTGCTGGTCCGGACTGGGCCAGAGGCGGTGGATTAAATCCTGGGCAGCCTTGCTCCTGGAGCAGCAGCGGTGGACTTCAGTCATGCTGCACCGGGAATTTTTTTCATCTATCGAGTCGGACGGAACCGAGCCTCTCCTGTTCTGCAGAGCCCTTGTAAGTAAAACTTTGTAGCTAGTTTACATAAAAGTATTGTATGTTGTTAAAGTTAGTAGGTTTAAGAGTTCAGAGGACTGATTGTGGGCTTCATCGCTGCAGGATAGGTCTGCAGAAACTAACAGAGTCAGAATAAAACAGAGTTGGACCGGAACCAGAGCTGTTGCTGTTCTGCAGAGCTAGTAAGCAAAATTTTGTAACGTACGTTGTTAAAATGACGTAGGTTTAAGAGTTTAGAACATTCCAAGAGTTTGGGAAGCGTTTCTAAAATATAAAGTTTAATATACTTGAACTTAAACTTGAACTTGGACTACTGTATCCCTACTTCACGGTTTATCGCGGGGCTTCAGGGTACGGATCCCCCGCAATAAACGAGGGACTACTGTGCTTCAATCGTTTTCAAGAAAAATAAGATGAGAGGAACAATTCAGCGTATGATTCAGTCATTCATTCAACTTTTATTTCTACAGGCGAGTCTCATTGAGCCACGAGGACTCATTTACAAGAGAGACCTGATTTAACAAAGAACACAGACGAGGTACACACAATAGACAATCATATAAAAAGCATATAAAATGAAAAGCAAATAGAAGAAATTATATAAAAACTAAACTAAAACAGATACATTTTAAAACGGTGTAAAAAGCTAAAAACAGAAACATGTCCGCATCGGTTTTTGCCATGAACTAGTCAGACTCACTAATCAGGACGATCATTAGCAGCAAACAGATAATTTACCTTTGACTGATGGTGACAAACATAAACTTTATATTTAGTTTAACTATCAGTTAAACACATACAAAAATCACTGAACTAAGTTATTACATCGAGTTAAAAATGATGTAAGGCAGTCAACCGTCAGCGTTGAATGTTTTGGGCTCTCAGTCAACCCAGCTGAGTTCTGATCCACACCTTCGTTGGTTCCACAACCCGTGTTCAAAGCAAAAAGAAAAGTTAGAAAACTAAGGTGCATGACTTGACCTTCTTCTGTAAAACAAAAAGTCTAAAAGTTTATTCATTCACTGCAGTGACGAGCATTAAAAAAGTCACATTACTTTAAAAAGTGTCTAATTTGATTGACAGATTTCTGCAGGAAGTTCAAAATCAGCCAGGAGCTACTGATCAAACATTTTGATTAATTGATTGACAAAAAGCGACACTAAAGACACACTCATAAATAAAAAGGGTAACCAATGAGTGTGAATAAGACTGAGTTTGTGCAATGATGGCAAAGTACACAGAGTGCATATTTACTGTAGTACTGTGCAGTGATGCTGAAGTATACTCCACATATTTAAACAGTAGTCGTGTCCAGGTATCACATTATCTGTGTTTAGTTGTTACAGATCAACCGTTTATCAAGTGAAATTACAAACGGCAAGAATAATTTCATGTGACATTCTCTGTGGCAGCAGAGCTTCGCTGGCTGTGTAGGGTGTCATGAAGGAGACAGGATGGGATGTCCCTGATGGAGGGCAGATAGTTCAGTTAAGCGGTTTCTTGCAGACAGAGAACAGATCATAAAGGATCACAAATCTAAAAATAACCGATCATTAAAGGAAAACACATGAAGGCTCTGTAGCAGCAGACTGAGACATGATGTTCTGCTCACAGCCTGCTCTGTCAGGGAGGATGTTGTTGCCATGGCAACAGCTCTTCACGCTCACTCACCTCCCTGCTGCATCACACGTGCACACTCACACACACACACACACATACACACAACTAAAGATACACAAACAATTGTTGCAATCAAAGAGACGTCTCAGGGCAGAGACTGGGACCCAGCATGTGGGTGTGTGTGTGTGTGCTCTTGTAAACGTAATTTTTGGGGATGTTGCATTGACTTCCATTAATTTTCTATAACCTACATTAACTTAACCATTACTAGTACATGCCTAACCCTAACCCAACTGCAATTCACACCTTAGTCCTAAACCCCACAACGAGACTTCCCCTTGTGAGGACCTGGCTCTGGTCCCATAAAGAGCAGTTGGTTCCCATAATGCATGATTTTTTTGTAAAATTGGTCCCTACAAGGTAACCTGAAACAAAGATGCACACGTTTACACATGCACACACACGCACAAACACACTCACACACCTACATACACACACGTGCGTGCATGTGTGTGTGCGCATGCTAATCAGAGCTGATTGATTCGAAAACAACATAAGGTATAAAAATAGACGATGCACAGCCAGTCAAAGTGTGGAGCAGCTGCAGGTGGACATGCAGCAAAGTATCCTGGGAGCTGTAGTTAATGTCCTAACAAGTTAAATCAAAATAATGGACATTATTTAGATTCTGAGATTCTCATATCAACATTTTAATCATAAAGCTGCAGAGATCCCAGCTTTAAACAGAGCGATTCATTCAATAATGTGTTTGGTCTCTACAGTTTCATCAAACACTCAAAAACAACATCAGTTCAGATTTCCTCTTCACTCAGGTGAGAAGAAAGAAAGTCTCAGTGAAGAGAGACCTGACTTGTCCACTAGATGAAAGTAACTGTTACTCTTTCTTTATTCATTTACTGTATAAATTCATAAATTCATAAATTTATTAATTTATTCATTTATGCCAGGCCAGCACTGTAAATAAGAGTTTGTTCCTAGTGTTTATACCTGGTTAAATAAAGGTGAAATAAAATTCTGAAAAACAGAGTACCAGGTATGTTTCTTGTTTTGTTCTCAAACATACAGCAGGTATGATCACATGACCAACATAAAACGGGAAAACACAACATGGACATGTTGCAGTAACACTGTTAAAAAAACAGACCGTCACTGGGAACAGGCTGCAACCCTCATTGAAAACACAAACTGAGTCACAGCCGATGCTCACAAAGAGCTAAAATTAGCTGAATGGCTGCAACGCGGCAGCTGGAGGAAGAGGACGGTTTAAAAGCCACGCAGTGGCTGGATGAAGCAATTTTAGTTTCAGAACACATAGTATGTGACACATTCACAATCAGACGTTTACAATCAGACATGTGGACACATCCAGACACGTTTACTGTCTGGCATGTTAACCATCAGAAATGTTAACAATCAAATATGTTAACAATCAGAAATGTTAATCAAATATGTTAACAATCAGAAATGTTAACAATCAAATATGTTAACAATCAGAAATGTTAATCAAATATGTTAACAATCAGAAATGTTAACAATCAAATATGTTAACAATCAAATATGTTTACAATCAAATATGTTTACAATCAAATATGTTTACAATCAGAAATGTTAACAACCAAATATGTTAACAATCA